TATCATCTTCTTCTGGTTGCTGCACAATGGTGGAGGGCGGCATTTCACTTAACTGGGGCTTATTTTTGGGGCAGGGTTTAGATTATGAGCATCCTGAGAAATCCTACTACGGCTTATTTTCAGGTTAGGTCTTATTTTTGAGGAAACAGGGTAGTTACCTAATCAGAGGAAGTGGTGTTCTCTCATGGGACTGGATTTGTCCTGTACCATGGGGAAGTGACTGAAATGAGTAAAATATTGAAGAAGGTCCAGCTCTTCAACTTCGTTGTAATCCTGTGAGTGCCAGACTGTAATGGACCTTCATCTTGCGCTAACATTAGCAAGCGAGGTTGAAGACTTAGCACATTCGAACCAGAGTTCTATGTTCTGAATTCTTCCAATGAAATACACAATCTAGTATTTTGATCTTTCTCCACATAGCTGTGCCTACCTCCACAACTTCTGTTTCACATGTACTAATCCCCTGAAGACACTGGCCCATGTGTTGGGGTTCCCTGTGAAGCCCTGACCTCAAAGAAATGTATTTGTTTCACGCTTCCTAAGAATCCAGATCTCTAACAAACTAGCCTGACTATGTTTAGTTTATATGCCAATAAAGGTTTTATTATTGTTGTTGTTGTTGCTGGCGGTTTACATTTTGTTTTGGTTTTCTCAATGTTTCCTGCTAATACTGCCTTAGGAAAAAAATTGAGTTGACTTTTTAGGCCGTCTCTGGATGCCAGAGGAGTCAACATGTGAGCGCTGGGACAGATTTCGCAACTTTAATGGTAGTTAATGACTGATAATGCTTCAGGTATGGAGTTTCCTCCAGTCAGAGCTCTGGATTGGCCAATTCAGGATGTGACTTGGATAGCATAATTGCAGCAGTGACTGCACTATCAGAGAAGTACTTTTTCTATTTTACAGTCCCTTTGTATCTACCTACCACTAATGGTCATACCAAGTGATTCCATTAAACATGATGTCAGAATGTACTAGTTGCACTATCTTTTATTCTAGCTAATCCTACATGTTTGCTTGGTCAGCCTCCTTGGGCAACACAGAATACTACTGTAAAAGTATATTTTAAAATGCCAGTGAGTTTGAGCTCTTTGGTAACAGCAGACTCCCCTTCAAAATAGAATACATAAGCTTCTACTGGAGACTCTTAAGTCCACTGTTTTAGAGAAACTTGTGTGGCACACTATATATGGCATGTTCTCTCATAAAATATAAACATTAGAATTTCACAGTTCCTACAGAATCTCTTAAATGTAGACAGCAGTACCCAAAATGGCTTGGTAACCGGAGGGCAGCCCCATAATAATCAGAAACGCAGCAGAGTCCTGCTATGGGATTGTTGGCAGAGTACAATACGGTGGTGCCTCACTTAACGATTGCCTCGTTTAGCGATGAATTCGCATAACAAAGTGTTTTTTTAGAAAATAATATGCACCGTATAACGATGTTTCCTATGGGCGATTTTCGCTTAGCGAAGTTTGGGACCATGCTTCGCATAACGAATGCAATTTTAGGTCCCCTGCTTCACTTAACGATGTTCCTTTTTTCAATTAAAAAAGTGTCTTAGAAGGGTCAAAAACGGTTCTAAATGCTTGGATTCGTTAGAGGACCCCCTAAGTCATGTGCAAACCTGATTTGGCTTTGATCTGACTTTTTGTTAATTTATGGTTAATTTTTTTTTTCGGCCCATAGGAACAAATGGACCTGTCAAAATCTGACAGCTCCGTGCTTTCCTATGGGGGAGAAA